GCAAAACATCGCCCGCTCAGTAAACATCCTGGTGATTTCCGTCACCGATTCTGAATCCTGTTTCAGCTCCAAGAACTCCTGAGCCAACCTCTCTCTCTCGACCTGTGGAACATAACGAGTACTGAACATCTCCCTGAACCGATCCCATGAAATTGCAGCCCTCTGCGCATCCGAGTACGATCCCGTGGTCAATCTCCACCAATCCTTTGCTCCGAGCCTCAACAGGTTCAAAGCACATCTCACCCTCTGATCAGCAGGGCATGAACACGTGAAGAAACATCCTTCCACATCTGATAACCACCTCATAGCAACGATCGGATCCTGAACTCCATCAAAAGTGGGAGGCTTCGTATTGTCGAAGTCCCGGTACTGAAAACCTCTGCTGGCTCCTCCCCCTGCCGCCGCTACTGCTGCGGTAGCCGCCGCGGCAGCCGTCTCCGTGAGAGCCGCATAACGCTCATCAAAATACTCCACCATGGCGGTCTTGATCGACCCAAACAACTCTGGCAGCTCAGCCCGAATCAATGCGGCAACCTCGTCATGCAAAATCTCGCGAATCCTCGTATCCAACTCGTGCGTACTCATCTGACTGACAACCTCTGGCTGTGCAGACCCACTTGGAGCTCCCTCTCCTGCTCCTGATCCTAACCCGGATCCACTCCCAGCGTGCCCTGGAATCTCCATACTGAAAATAAAAACACCAAATCTCAGACACATTACACTAACCCGGGAACCAGCTCTCATCCCAACCCTAGAGGTCATGGTTTCCCTGATACGCGTATGAGTTCGTGCTTCCGGGTAGTACGGGCCCATACTACCTTCCACACCAACCCATATTTGTATGAAGTACTCCCACAGCACCCTAGCGACACACATAACAATGCTCTATCCTCACCACTACAGGAACACTAGAAATTTCTCACAAGGGACCCTAGGCTAGCAGGCATCATAAATCAGGCAACTCATCCATAAATCCTGAAGATCCCTAGCCTAACCCTAGCATGCTGTTCTATCAAAGCTCAATAAAACAATTGCCATGTATGATATCTTGGGGTTACTTACTGGCTCCGGCTGATCGTACCTCCGCGTCCTCCTTTACTTATTTTGAAAACCATTTTAATTTCTCTTTTTGAAAACTCTCCTCGATTTGAGACTGGAGTCACACAAGTGTCCCTCCAATTCACTCAAACCAAGGCTCTGATACCAACTTGTAACGTCCGAAAAAAACACAACCAATTTAAAATTTTCAAAGCAACCCGATTTTCACTAAAATGTTCACAAAAAGGTTTTCAATACAATTCATTTAAGTATTCCCAGAATCACGTTGTTACAAAATCATGAGGAACGGTACGATCGCGCCTTCGCCTTGCCACAGCCTCCTGAAGAACCTGAAAAACATTAAACCACAACTGTAAGCCCGAAAGCTTAGTGAGATACCCCCAAAATACCAACCACGCATACGCCTTTACAGGCCGTGACCTTCCGGTCCAAAACATATAAAGCATACATAACAAAACAGATCATAGAACAATCATGCATATCGGGTCTACCGTGACTGGTCCGCCGTATCAGGCCTTCAGTCCATCGAATCCATCCTCCGGGTCTAGTCATGTCCTCCGAGTCTACGGTGGGGTTGGTCCGCCCGCATCGGGCCTTCAACCCACCTGGTCCACTCTCTGAGTCTACAGGGTGACTGGTCCGCCCGCATCGGGCCTTCAGTCGGCCTGGTCCACTCTCCGAGCCTCGGCACGTCTGGTCCGCCCTCGTGGGGCCTACAGCCTATCCGGACCGCTCGCTGGGCCTTCGGAACAACCGGTCCGCCCTGGGTATCTTGGCCTACAGCACAAAGCAGGACCCGCCTCAACCCATCTCTAGTCCAAACAACCATGTGCACAAAACATACAGTCATATAACAGTCATAATCAACAAACCAAGTACACAGATCACATAGCATATCATTACTCTGCATAACGAGAACTGGCCTTTACAAGGTCTCCCTAGCATGTACCATCCTAACTACCAGGATGCAGACACAACCAGCACTAACATGATAAACGTAACTGAATCTCAATACAATAAAGGGCCGGCCTTGGTGCCTTAGACCCTGTTGATATAGTGAGGATAACTCACCTCGAAACTGACGGCTGAAAAGATAAGATCCCACTGCTCCGAACTCTGACACAACTCCTCCACTGAACAACAAACAATAACCCAATAAATATCCATAAATACCAAAATACCCCTGGAAGACAACTGGTCAACCCTGGACAAGTCAAAATCAACCCCTGACTGACCCTACTCGCCGAGTCAACCCTATGACTCGCCGAGTACAACAACTATGAGTCCACTCGCACCTAATTCACCGAGTCGTCCCTCGACTCACCGATTCATCGACTCAACCAGAAATATTGGGACATCCTCGACAAGACTCGCCGAGTCCAACTGAACTCGTCGAGTCCAAGGCCATCTTTAACCTACTCGCCGAGTTGTTTCTTCCAACTCGTCGAGTTCAAGGCCATCTTCAACCAACTCGTCGAGTCCACCCATGTGACTCGCCGAGTTCCACCGGTCTGAATCCATACAGAAGCATCCCAGACCATGCAATTGGTCCAAAACATAGATCCAACCTCCTACAATCCATATATCACGTAAAGTGGCAAACTTTACGTGAATCTAACGAGATCTAAGCCATTTTCACCTTAAAACCAAGGTTTGGGACATGATAGCTCCATTCATAGCACAAAGGTCGGGACTTTAATGCACTCAATGACTTCTCCACTCCAGATCTGAGGTAGCAACCTCAGATCCATCCTCCAACACCAAAATATCACACCACCAAGCATCCCACACAACCCCAAATGAAGAAACTAGGAATGCACAGCTTAAGGACGAAGATATTACCTCCAAAAGGTGCCTCAATAGCTGCCAAACTCGAATCCAAGCAAAGCCCTTTGATCCAAACCACTTCTCCTTCAAGATTTCTTCAATCAACACCTCTCCAAGCCTTAACTTGCTCCACAAGAGATTTCTCCACGAACTTAGGGCTTCTGGAACTCAAGAGGGAATAAGAGAGGCTGTGGAGTGGAGTATTACTCTTTATATAGGGCTCAACCCCGGAAATTAGGGTTTTCTTCATACAGCACCTACTCGCCGAGTCCATCCTTGGGACTCGCCGAGTAGGCCACTAAACACGCGACCCAACCGCGACCTGACTCGCCGAGTCCATCCATGGACTCGCCGAGTCACCCTCTAAAACTTACACTTTCAGCCCTTCAACTCTACTCTTGCGATTTCGGGATGTTACAACTGGATACCGTTGAGATAGAATCCTTTTAGTAATTTAATTTACAAGAATACAGGTAGCAAAATTACAATTATTTCCATAATACTTTAGAAATCATTAGGGCCAACAACCCGTAGAATCAAGAAGACAAAAAGACATTATTATAAACAAATGCAGCATAATTTTATTACCTTTCGACTGTTGACAATGAATGACTTTAGCCTCACTGGTCTAAGGTAGTTCCCAACAAAATAAACGTCCTCATTTAGCAGTTGAGACTCGGTAGATTGTCCACCTGGTTCAACCTCACATTTAGGGGGTAATCAACGCATGCACCTGTTGGAATAGTGTCTAAGGCTGCAACTATATTAGGCAAGTATTTGACCCGGTTGTGCATGGTCCTTTTGGGTTGCCTTCACCATAGCAACTTGATAGGATGATTTATTAAGAGAGAATAAATATTATTAATATATTATGAGAATAATATAAAGAATAATAATGTTAATATTTGATTAATATAAGTCATAGAATTAATTAGAATTAATTTGGTGACTTAAAGAGATTAATTAAATAAGAGGGTATAAACTGTCAATTGTTTGATAGTTAAACTTTAGACTGTAAATCCATATTGGATAGGGGTGGACGGATTCTAGAAGCTAGGGATAGCTTAAAATCGTCCAATTCTATCTAAGGAATGGATTTGGATTGCTTTAAGAGAAGATTATCCAACTAGGGTTTAAGCTGTAACCCTTAAGGAGTCTACAAGTATAAATAGACCCTATGGCAAAGGGAAATCGGCACTTCATCTAAAATAGAGAACCCCTGGCCGAATTCCCTCCCCTCTCCTCTCTCCCAAATCATCCTCCTTGCTATTTGGTGTTTCTAAGCCATCAGAGGAGTGACAATTGTGACTCTAGAAGCTCCAAGACAACAAGATCAAACAAGAGATTCAAAGGTATGATTCTAGATCTGATATAATATTATTCTTATACCTAATTAGTAATTAGAAGTCTTGGATTCAAAGCATGTTTAATTAGAAAGCCTAGATCCAAGCATTAGGGTTTTGCATGCGCACATAGGAAAGTTCTTATAGCTAAAACCCATCAGCACCATGTGTCCGCTTTGCAATGCTTTCATGGACTCTTATATTGAACTACTCATTTGATGCCTTCCAAGGTATAAACTCTACTTATGGTGTGAAAACAGGTCTCAAGATATTTTTGAAGTGATTTCAAGGGTGCTATTATTGACCATATGGACGTAGAGGCACGGTATGATTTTCAATAGCAAAGTGAAGATATTGTCTACTCTAACTTATGAGGTCAAGAGTTTGAGCATTTTATGGCTTAAAAGTAAAGCTAAATGGTGTAGGGATTTGATATGGAACTCATGGGCCAACAACCTTCTATATTGTACAATGTAATTCCTGCTTCTTGAAGTTCAATTTATATAAAGTCAAGCCATTAAAACAACCTCAATAAGATCTCATTTTATTGGCAAAGAAGTGGGAAATTACATATTTGGTTTTTTATTAATAGAATGAAGGAATCAGTAAGTAACATCAACTCTTTTGTATCAATGATAAAGACTAAAATGGTAATCAAAATGCGTCAAAAACCCAAATGTTGTAAAAATTTTCCTCATAGTTGAGTTGTTTCGCAAGCAGCCTCCCCCATGTCTAACAAATGAAGTGTTTCGACACACTCCCAAAAGTCTATTAAACTAGAAGAAGCATTGAATCCGAGTACTCCTGATCGCAACCCTGTCTTGGGATTATAAATTTGGAACCCTTCCCCATAAGTAGTGAGCAACAAATTACACTCGTTGGTTGTTTGCGGTTGTGGTTGGAATTGAAAAGCTCCATCAACTGGAAGTTTACTTGTCTTGGGATGGTTGATAGTCTTGTCGTCAACCAGTCCGGAGCCAATCCAGAAAATGGAATCATACCAAAAACATGAGTGCTCAAATCGAATGTCAGTATACAAGAAAAGTCTAAGTCAAAATGATTTACCTCCCAATGCAATACTCCTTTGAATAAAAAGGCCTCACGTCGCACATAAGTAAACTCAGGTTTAGGGGAAGCAATCTCACACCAAGTGCCTGTCTTCACCGCATAAACAAATGAACTGTCTTTTTCATATGATATCCAAACAATTTTGTAATCGTCATTGATTGGGTCAAATCCAAACCCAATACCTCCCAAAGCGAGTTTAGAACTCCGAGGACATTCAGGCACTCTTACTTTGCGTCTGATTGAAGGGTTCCATAGAGTCAAAACATTTTTCGTCTTCAAACAGAAAGTTCCATTACATGAACCAACAGTTCTGAACCTACTGCTACAAGGAAACGGAATTGTTGTTGTTATACCAATATATCCAGGTTTGGGACACAAACACAAGGGCAATTCGTCTTCTCCGTGTAATGTATAAACGACTTCTGCTATTTTATTATTGTCAATATTTTCATGCGTGAAGCGGATTTTTTGTGGGGATCGGAATGTGTGCAAGCGTATGAACTGGGGACTAGAAATACATGTATATAATGATTTAGAGAGTAATCTAAATCGGAGGAGGGATTTCGGTGGTAGTCTTGTAAATATTTCAACAATCAACTCTTCGCATAGATAATCTATCATCTGCATTTTTCCAACAATATAAAAGTCAGTTGTAATAAGGTGCAATTACAATTCCTCTCTGTTTCAATAAGTTTAGAATTCTTGTCAATATATATTCATGTTTTTGTAAATTGATGAGGCAGATGTTCATCAACTAAAATTGACAGTGAAACTGATGAGCAAGAGCAACTCCAACGTGATCTAGTTCCAATTTCATGCAGCTAAATTAACAAATAAACTCAAACTGAGATAAAATTTAAAAAGTAACATAGGGCATTTATATGCTTATTCTAGGTAGGAGGATATGATAGTATCGGAGTGTGGGCTGAGCCCGTATCTCATAGTTGAGTTTGATTATGTTATATGCTAGTATGATAGAATTGCTTATACTTGTTGTCTGTGTGATACTTGTATGTTATGGTTTAGTAGCTGAGTGTGGGCGAGGTCCGTATCTCCCAGATAGCGGAGTGTGGGCGAAGGCCGTATCTCCCAGATAGCGGAGTGTGGGCGAGGCCCGTATCTCTCAGATGGCGGAGTGTGGGCGAGGCCCGTATCTCCATGAGTGTGTGCGAGGCCCGTATCTCCTCGATGTTCATTGTATGATTGTATGGTATGAGGTATTGTGGGGGAACTCACTAAGCTTCGTGCTTACAGTTTATAGTTTTGGTTTCAAGTACCTCTTCAGCGAAGGGGAAGGAGCTGGCACGGTAGCGACCCATCATGCACACCTCTTGTTTTCTGCATTAAGAAATTGTTCTGGGATTTGTACTCTGACACTATGGTTGCCCCCATGTTTTGGTTTCCAAACACGTAATATGTTTTAAGAAATGATATGATCGAATGTTGTTTATTTTCAAATGTTTGCAAAGTGTTTAATTAAAAATGAAATTTTTGGACTTGAAAAATTGGTTCGTTACAAGTTGGTATCAGAGCCCTGGTTTGAGGGATTCAGACACACCCTCGGGGATGTCTAAACTCAAATCAAGGGAATAAAGGATTTCGAAAAAGAAAAGTTTTCTAAGGGATTAAGTAAAGAGTTTTAAGAAAGAACGAAGTGTATGATGTGCGCGACCGGCCGAGCTCAAGTAAGTATTCCCCAAAATACCCATACAAGTTTATGTTATGTTTAACAATTTCAGTAGAACAGCATGCTAGAATAGGACTAAGGATCTAGGAGTGATGCCTTACGTGCCTGCTATATGTGCTTCAGCTTATGAGAATTGCGCGCTAGCATTGAGTAGACAACAGTAGGATAGCCTGTTTAGGTTATGCCTGATAATATGTGTTTAGCATTGTATGCTAGAACAGTTTCTCTCTATGAGGACAGGTTTGGTTGAGGTAGTTCCCTTTTGTCTGAATGCTGCTTGATTTGTGCTTTGTGGGGCTCTGAGTGATGGGTGTGAGCCATTAGGTGAATATGTCATGTCACATGTGACCAGGGTTGGATAAACTTAGAGTGCTGGATTTGGCCATATTGCGTAGTTCTCGTTTGAGTCTAACTGTTGTAGGGACGAGTCCGTTACTCGAAAGATTATATGAGCCTCATCACATGTGATGGTATTCAGGTGATGGCTAATTGGCATTATAAGGAGGCCTTCAGCAGCTGAGGCCCAGGTAGGGTGGAGTCAGTGATTTCCCTAGGGCAAGCCTAGGATCAGTATACTAGTGATCAGCAGTAGTGAAAGGGATCTGGTGGAGTCGAGGCAGTCCTTGAAGAAGGTACAGATAGATGTGGAAGGTAGTATGGGCCCGTACTACTGAAAGCATAGGATCCATACCCGAACTAAGGAAGGCCGAGACAAGACCGGGGAACTTGAAATAGATGTGATCCCTTTAGAGGTATCAGTATCACTAATGGTTGCATGTGTGTATTGCAGAATGGTGGTACTACGCCAGAGGCCAGCTGGTGGCAGTTCTGGAGAGCGATCGGGTTCGGGATCAGGTTCCGAGCCAGTGGATGAGAGGCTACACGAGTTCATCGCGTCAGAGATCACCAGAGGCATCCTTGAGTCGACCCCCATCATTTTCGGGTCGATTAAGGAAGGGATAGTTGAGTTGATGGAGGACCGCTTCAGGGCGTTCAGGAGTGACATGACATCTGGCCAGTCAGTATCTCGCACACTGTCCTTTAAGGACTTCAGGGGTAGTGGTGCGCCAGATTTCCATGGGGCGAAGGACCCCATTGCTTCAAGACGATGGATTGCGGACATTGAGTCCGCACAGCTGACTAGCTTCTGCCACAAGGGGTCGAAGGTGAGATACGCATTGTCGAATTAGCCAAATTTTACCTACAAGAGTCGGTCACCTAGTAGGTAAATTATATATATATATATATATATATATATATATATATATATATATATATATATATATATATATATATAATTTACCGATAAAAACATTGTGTATGTATTTGTAACTTTATACATATAAAAATGTTATATATCTAAAAATATACACATAAAAATGTATAAAAATCCTATTAATATCTCTATACATGTAAAAATGTTATATACGTATTTATAGATACAAATACGTATAAATTGCATTATATATACCTATTAATAAGTAACATAAATAAAAAGCATACAAATATTTATACACAATTTTAAAATGAAAAATGCATTTACCTATATTTATATACCTTCACAAATTTTTTTATATAGTATTAAGTGTCTTTATTTATTTTAAAGGTATAAACACAATTTTAAATAAAAAATTGCGTTTCCTTTACATATAAAATACATTTATAAATTCATGAAATAATAATATTAATAATAATAATTATAATCATAATAACATGTTAGATATTAAGTATAATCTTTCTAGAATGTTTTCAAGCAAATTTTGTTGTTGCTTCACATGTGCCGCCACCGCCTCCACCTCCGGTTGCTTCACCTTTGTCGCCTTCGCCTCTGGAATCTTCTGCATGTAAAATTTTCTTTTTCTCTTGTTATGTATTTCAAGTTTAATGTTTGAAAATCGAGTATGTTTCCCTGTAATTTGAGTATCAGATAATTGTTGCTCTTTTTTTTATAGTCAAAGTTGTTTTTTTTTTCTAAATTCAAAGCATCTTTTGAAGTCGTTCCACCAAACTAGAACCTTACTTTGAGGTTAGTTGTGGTTCAGTTTTGATTTATGATAATGTGTTGATTTCTGAAATATATTGGTTGATTTCTGATTGTGTTTATTTGGTGAAATATATTGTTGAGAATGTGTTACTAGTTTCTCATTGTTCTTTTTTTTTTTTTTATTGAAAATGTGTTCCTAGTTGCTAATATAAGTTGTTGATTTTGTTTATTTGCTAAAATTTGTTGGTGATCTTGTTATTATGTGTTGAATTGTCGTTGATATCTGTTGTTGATCTTTGAAATTTGTTTGTGTTGCTAGTGAAATCGTATGCTTTGCTTTTTCTTTTTCCTTATGAAATATGATAATATTTTGCTGATGAAATCATATGCTTTGATGTTTAGCTTGATGAAATCTGAATATTAGCATGTTATGGATTCACTAAATGAAAGTACAATGTTATATCATGAACATGTGGTGTCTATTAGTAGAGGATATTTCATACCTACAAGTTTATGGAGTTCATTAACATTAGATTTGTTATGGATGGTGATGGTTCTAAAAGATTTCACAAAGCAACGAAAACATGAGCTTTGGGTATAATCAAGAAATGATAATGTTATGCTTGATTTGGATTTATGTTTAATCTGGATTTTATATGGTGTTTGGAAATTTTTTATAATTATTCAAGAAGTTTATTCAGTTATTTTATAAAAAAAATGTTAAATTTAGCAAAAATAACATAGAATGGTAAAATGGCCATTTTATAATTCAGCACTACAATTCAGAGGTTCCAACCAAACAACATTTGAAAATTCAGATTTTAAAAATTCAGACGCTCTTAGAAATTCAGGCCACTTATGTCACACCCCCGAACCAGACGGCGGAAACGTCCGAGGGCTGTCGTGACTTAATTAAATACCATAACATTGAATATATATGAAACATAACATCATTCGTCACCATGCATTAATATAGTACAACTGGTAGAGTTTACACTGAGTACATTGTTTGAATATTACATTCCCAAAAAAAAAAATTGTTCGGTCATAGATAAACAAACTGCAAGCCATCACTGAATACATTTCCTTCGGTTTACTTGTTACTTGAGAATACAAGTATTTTGAAAAAAGTCAACATATGAAATGTTGGTGAGTTCATAAGCGGTATTTGAAATCAACGTTTTGTATTATTTGAAAACCACCAGAAAATCCGATATTTTCTGAAAAGAGTTTCTGAAAAAGTTTGTGAAGATCCATAAGTATGCTTGTTTGTTTCTATAGTTGTAAAAAGTGTTCATAAAACTTGTGTACATTTCGAAACTGTATGTATTGAAAAACCCTAGGAAAACCCAATGTTTTCCTAACACTTTGAATTCCATGTAGTTGTTGTACCATCGCGGCATGTGAAGTCATTGATTCCAGGCGACGTCGGATTATTGCGCATTGTGAATTATTATAAACACGCGTTACGCAAACGACCAGTTTACAATTATACAAGCGATCCCGTAGGCGTCGTCCGTACTATTCACGTAATCCAACCGCCCTGACTTCTTGTAGTCCCGCATCCGAAGAGAAAGAGGGCACGAAGACCTCGATAACTCCATTAGTCGGTCGGGGATAAAATGAGTACGAAGGGCCCTTGGCCCACTCGCATGTGAATAACTGACTTTACTAGCAGTACCAAAGGACCCTTGGGGACCAATAGTGTAAAAGCCATTGAAAGTCCTTTTACACTGTGTTGGATCATGTAAGACCCAACAACTCGTAAGGTTGAAGTCTTCCGGCCTAAAGATCAGGTCATTGGGCTAGCTAGGCCCAACAAACATGATTTTACACTTTGGGGCCCAAAGATAGTGCGTCGACGTCTGTGCACTCTCACGTGTGTATTGAATTCCCGAATATTACTTGTATGAATCGAGTTATCATCGTGTTAGTAGTTTCGGGTTTGTTATTGAT